AAAAAAAAAAAAAAAAAAAAAAAAAAAAAAAAAAAAAAAAACGACCCCTGGGATTGGGGGAGGATCCCCGAATCCCGCGGTTTTTTAGGGAATATATTAATACAAAATTTCCGGGAGGAGGAGGAGGAGGAGGAGGAAGGCAGAGGGGCGAGGATCCGAGCCCCAGCCCCCGGGAATTCTGACAAAGTGCAATGTTCCCCACCCCGAACATTCCCGAACATTCCCGAACATTCCCGAACGTTCCCGGCCGGGAGGGGCCCGGGGGGAGCACCGGGATCAGCCCCGGGGCTGCCAGGATCAGCTGCTGGGACCAGCCCTGGAGCTGCCACGGCCGGGACCGGGACCGGGACCGGGACCGGGACCGGGACCGGGATCAACCCCGGGACCGGGACTGGGACTGGGATCAGCCCCGGGATCGGGACCGGGATCCAGAACAGCCCCGGGATTGGATCAGCCCCGGAGCTGCCGGGATCGGGATCAGCTCGGGATGGGGGCTGGGATCAACCCCAGGATCGGGACTGGGATCAGCTTTAGGATCGGATCAGCCCCAGGATCAGTGCTGGGGTTGGGATCGGTCTCAGGATCAGCCCCGAGAGTGGGAACAGCCCGGGATCAACCCCGGGATTGGGGCTGGGATTGGGATCAGTCCCAGGATCGGCCCCAAGATCCGTGGGCAGGCTCGGGGTTGGTTTTTTTCCCCCCAGGGTGGGGTTGGATCCCAGTTGGATCCCACAGATCCCATAGATCCCAGCTCTATCCCAGCTGTATCCCAGTGATCCCAGCTCTATCCCAGCAGTCTCCCAGTGATCCCAGCAGGCTCCCAGCTGTGTCCCAGTGATCCCAGCAGTCTCCCAGCAGGATCCCAGTGATCCCAGTGATCCCAGCAGGCTCCCAGCAATCCCAGCTGCAGCCCCCGGGTCAGTCCAGCAGGGAGGGCTCGGCAGGCCGGATGATGGTCGGGCGGTTCGGGGCTGCCGGGGGTCTCCTGTGGGGGGGGGGGGGAGAGTCTGGCAGGGCCTGGGGGACCCTCGGGACCCCAAGAATTCCCAGAGGGGCCCTGGTGTGACCCCAGTGTGACCCCAGACAATCCCAGTGTATCCCAGTGTGACCCCAGTGTGATCCCACACAATCCCAGTGTATCCCAGTGTGACCCCAGTGTGACCCCAGTGTATCCCAGTGTGACCCCACACAATCCCAGTGTGACCCCAGTGGATCCCAGTGTATCCCAGTCCCTCCCAGTCCCTCCCAGCCATTCCCAGTCTCTCCCAGTCCCTCCCAGTCCCGTTCCCCCCTCACCTGGGCACTCCTGGTGGGATTCCAGTGTATCCCAGTCC